GCACTACCCTGAACAAATGACTCAAATTGTTCGCTGTTCAAACTCTCTTTATTTTTGGTAGACAAGAACTCAGCTATTTCATTACGAATTTCTTGACTTTCACTTGACACGTGGGACACTTCTGACACTAAATCAAAAGTTGACCTTCGATTATTGTCACTTTCGAAAGGAACTTTTACAAAAATAGTCTTTGAATCTTGCTCGTGTAGCTTAGTATCTGATACCCTTTGTTGATAGTCCGTATAAGTGGATGATCCACTGTGATAGCGTTGCTCTGTTATCCTATTTGAATGGGAAAGTTCTGATTGAGAGTTTCCAGAGTGCTCTGACAAAACACTGGATCTTTTGCCTTCAACCTTGTCTTCCTCTGAATGTTCCTGTGGAACACCAAGTTGATTTGAGTATACTTCTCTGCCACCACAGTCTTGATTGGGTGAACTTTCCGCACTTTCAATTTGGAGAATTACGTTTCCTTGGGGTTGTGAGTCTCTATTTGATTTGTTCAAAGGAGCAGAATTGTCTGAACTATATGACAACCTACTATTTTGTTTTCTAGTAAAATTATTTATTTCTGAGGTACCACTATTTTGATTGACAGTATAACCTCTTGAATTTCTGGAAGAACGCCTTGAAAAGTCTATTGATCGCCTTTCCTCTCGTGAGATATCTTTATCTTTGTTATCTAAACTTATTCCACCATCAAACACCTCATCAATATAAACCTCTGGACCACAGTCTAAGAAATTTTGACTGAGTTTAAATTTGAATTCCTCTGGGGTAATGACAGAGAGCGAACTCCTTTCTTGTGGAACATAAGTTAACCTTTGACCTACACTTAACCTATGACCTTCAGACGAATCAAATTTACTGATTTTAGGTACAATTGTGTGTCTATCAGGGCTTGATGGTGATTCTGAATCAGGGTTCACACTATTTTGAACAGTTGCTTTGATTGGTCTATTTTGAACACTATTCCTATGCAATGGATCCCAATCTTGACACAAACCTATTGGGGTTTCTTGAGAGGTGTTGGAACTGTCAAGTCTACCTGGTTTGTCAGTCTTTGAGATCTTGTTGATACCTTTCCTTGACTCAGATGAATGTCGATTATCAATTCTATTATTGTCAAAACTTGGCCCACTTTTTCTCTGGCCCACAAAATGTTCTTGATTACAATGTTCACTTAACGTTCTCGTGAGGGTGCCAGAAGAGAGTCTTTCAGTGGTTTGTTCATATGGTGTTTTCAAAAGACTGCCCGAGGAAAGCCTGTGCGAATTATGTTCCGATGGTAATCTTAAATTGGCTTCAACAGATTGTGTTTTCAAAAGACTGCCCGAGGAAAGCCTTTCTGAATTTTGTTCCAAGGGTAATCGTGGGTTGGATTGTTCAGTTTGTGTTTTGAAAAGACTGCCTGAGGAAAGCCTTTCTGAATTATGTTCCAATGGTAATCTTGACTTCGCTTCAACAGTTTGTGTTTTCAAAAGACTTCCGGAGGAAAGCCTTTCTGATGTTTGTTCGAGCTCACTTAATATGTTCACAACCTTATTCTCACATGGAAATGAAACTTTTTCTTTGTTGGTCTGATTGGATATATTAGGTCTTTGGTTAGACTTGTGTTTTGGTGTTTTATATAAAGTACCAGATGAAAGCCTTTCAGAAGAGTTTTCAATTTCACTTGAACTTTTTAAAGTTTGGGAATCATTTGGTAAATTAGATTGTACACCTTCAGATATCCTTGCTTCAGAAACATTTATTATTTCTGATCGTCTTTTGTCTGGTTTGATGATAACTTGTGAGTTATTACTTTGTACTCTTGATGAGCTTCTTGGAGAAGGATCTATTGGAGTTTTGGACTTTTGATTTAAACTATTTTGAGATTCAATAGAATTTTTATCAGAAACACAAGATCTTTGGTCTATTGATGACAAGTTTCTTGGATTTGAATTAGAAGAAATACTCAGCACTGCTTTATCAGAAATTTGTGTTTTCAAGTTTGAATCTCTTTTTGACGAGCCATTTTCTGTTGGAATTTCTTCAGTCGTGACTAATGTCTGCTTCAATTTCTGTGATAGTCTTATATTAGGATCACTTTTACACAAATCCTTCTGAATTTTGTGATCAGTCCCACTTTCACTCTTTCTGTATCTCTTCTGATACTCAGCCTCTTCTCGGATTAAGGTAGACAGAAAATCGGTAGAGGACACACGATCTGATCTAGGTCGAGATTTTCTACGAGATTCAGTTGACTTTTGAGACTTGTTAGAAATATTCAGTTCACTAACATCTCCTTTGTGGCTTGATTTGGATTTGACTTTTTTAAACAATTCATCAATGTCAGAACAAGAACTTGAATTTTTCGAATAACTCTCAAGTTCTAAATTTCTTCTTGATTTTTTGTCTATTTGTGATGGGTTAGAATTTGTTTTTGGAACTGAAAGTCTATCACTTTGACGAGGTCTGATATTCGTTTCACTTACAAATGGGGTTTGTCCACTGTCACTTATATACGATATCTGTTCACCTGGACCTAAATTGTCACCAGAAGTAAATACTTTATCAAGAGGTCCTTCCACACAATTTGGACTTTTTGATTGTGACAAACTTCGCCTCTTTTCAGCTTCTTCATAGAGCCTTTGCTCCTCAATCAATTTCTCTTGGAAAAATGAAAGTTTTTTTTCCCGAAACTTGTCAGACTGATTTTTAATTGCAATTGATTGCAAACTATGCTGTTTTTTCTTTGAGCTTGAATTTTTTGAAGAATTAGGGATTTTACTCCTTTTTACTGGGCTTTTATTGGGTGATACTGACAAACTCTTTGTCCTATTAAATGATTCACCTTTATCTCTCCGACATTTTTCAGAAGAGTTTTGATAAAGACTGATTTCACTTGGATCTGAGTCCAAATATGTCTCACACAATTCTTGTTTCAATGAGCCTGATGTCAAGCTATCTGAACGCAGTGATCCGGACGTTAAACTAGTTTGTCTTCGACTGCCAGATGTCAAACTTCCTGAACGAATTGAGCCAGACGTCAGACTGGTTTGCCTTCGAGAACTGGAAATCGAACTGTCTTGCTTTAATGAGCCAGATATCAAAGACACTGATCGAATCAAGCTTTCTTGATTTATTGGTAATGTATGGGAGCTTAAATCACTTAGTAAACTACATTGAATATCATACTCGGTAAGGTCTGCACCAAAACTAGCAATGTTCTGAGATAAATTATATTCCGACAGACAACTGGCTCCCTCTACACTACTTTTAGAAGAACGTAGAAAGTTTTTAGTTGGTGATGGTCTATCGAGACTATACTGGCTCAGTCCACTACATGACGTCTCATCAGAAGAACTCTCGTGATGACCATACTGGTACTGTGATTTCCAGCGTGTTTTAAAAGTTCTTAAACTACAGTCCTCTTTACTGGAGTCTGGATCGGCCGATAGTTCTAACCATTTACTCGGTTCATCTGACTGAAAGTAAATAAGTTACAGTATCATACTAAGCTTACAAATTGTGTCATATTTTTCCATGTTCACAAAGTATGGCCTATAAGGACTTTTTTATTAAAAGGGAATTTGCTGAGCTATGAAAAATGGTGGACTTGAGTTTTTCTCATGAAGACTTGTAATGCCATGTACCAGTAGTGAAAATGACGTACTAATTAACTAATGATTTACTGATGTAGGTCTTCTGTAAGCTTATACATAAACCTTTCCATTTGTATGAGTAAGGTTTTGATATTAATACAATAATACAACATTTCACAATGCCCTAAAAAACTTTGCTATAAGCTTATGCATGCTTGGAAACAAAGTCTGTCCACAATCCTACCTACCAAATGCTAAACCTAAAGGAATTAAATTAACTGAGGGGATATCATCCTTCTTAATTCCCACTACCCGGTCAACCTAGTGATTCCTTAAAATTTAAAGCTAATAAGGCAACTAGCTTAAAACACGTTCTTCAGTTCAAAGAGACCATGCATGGACATGATTGATGAAAGTTTAATTGCTTTCTTTCAATTTTATAAAACCAATAGCATTTGAATCTCAGAACTTATTTCCAAAGCCTTCCTACCTGACTTGTGGCAGAACTGCTTTCAGTTACTAATTCTACATATTTTAGTTTTCTAGATACATAACAGGGAAAGTTTTAACCACATATATCTCCTGCATTCTCCATTGATGTTATGTTCTTGCCTAGACGATTGGCGGGGGTATGGTACATGTCAAAACATGTCATTCCATGCCAGTGGCAAAATGACACAAAATGTAAACAAAGCCATTTTTCAAACATTTGCGTCAGTTTTTGGCCATCTACGGCATTTCAAAGGAAAGAATTTATAATTTAAGGGACAAATGGGGAAATATAGTAAAATGCGAGCAAGCTGGCCATTGTACCTCATTCAACATGACTGATTCTTTGAAAAATCTTCAAATTTATATTTTAGTTTTCAATCTTGCCGCTCCACTCTAATGGCGGACATTCGGCATTTTCCGGTTTTTCCGTGAAATGTCTTCTTTCCAATACCTAAAGAACTATGACTCATACGAGACTTAATTCCAAAAAACATGATAATTTTTGTCAATTTTTTTATCAATAAATCATTTTACTATATATTTTTTCAAGACGTTACATAAAAAATAACAGTTAAGCCAATTCCCATGATGCATTGTAAACATGTCAGCGCCCTTGAAAGTTGTTTTGGTTAAAAGTTGATCACTCAGAAATTAAATAAATCGAAATTAAGAGGATGTGAACATATCAAACATAGCTTAAAGCAAGCCTTACTGTGTGAAAACCCTGGCCCAAAAATGTCACACAAAATGTTAAATCATATCCAACTGTCAAGGCAGATAAGTCAAATAAAACGTCTACAGCTCAAATACATACAGAGTTGCCAACTCTGCCACCGGCAACAACACTGGCAACAACACTGGCAACAGAATTGGTCAAGAAAATATGCAAGTTGGAGCAGAGCAGCGTTTGACTCAGTTCATATGATTCTAAACATTGACCCTAAAGTAAAGACCAACATAAGACATAAGTCAAAAAAAGCAAGAGCAAATGAGAGGAAAGAAAAAGACATTAGTTCATTTGTTCGTCCATTGAAAATTAAACCAATAAGTAAAGGAGAATTTGAAGATTTTGATGCTGAAATTAATTCCAAGCTTCAAAAAGGTGACATAAGCTTTTCCTTGTTTCTAATTGCTCATCAATCCATCTGAAGTCTTGATTGAATAGAATCGTTTGAATATTGTTTGAATAATGATATAATGGCCTGATAGTTTTCATGATGGCTCCTGAATTTTTAGCTGTAAAGAGAGTCAGTTTAAAACCGAACGTGGAATGATAATTTTAAGCACATCCAGTCATTTATTGATTATAGCCTACAGTTTCCATGCCCAGAAAAACTGTACTTGCACTGTCATTTCTCACAGTGGATGAAAATCAATCATGGATTAGATATTAGGGGTGATAGTTCGTGTATGAAATTTTAAAGTTTCAATCGTTTCGTTTTTTGTAATTTGTTCTTTGTTACAGGAATTATCAAATTTTTTCAGATAAGCTTATTAAGTTATTAAACCAATTCTCTCATAGAAGAAATATAAAAATTTTATCTCAAGAACATGGTTTGAATGGTAAGTGTTTCATTTATTGGTCACTAGAGCAATCAGTGTTTATGTGGAATTTCAAGAACCACAAACTTGAATGAAAATTGGAATGAAGCAAATCGATTTATCACCTAAATTTAGAAAACCTCTAATCCGTTTTATGGTTGAAATAAATTTGAATTTACTGGTAATTGACTGAAATTTTTGTTTTGTAGAGAAATTGTTCCATGATGTCTATTCAAGTTTTCGTACTTTCTGTGTCAAGTCAGCATCATTACCAGTTGACCTTCATGTGGTACTTAGTGATATTATACATGGAGCAGGTATTATATACGAAATTATCGTTGAATTGATATCTTTTTCCTAATAGTTGTTATTGCAGCTGATTTTCTTTCCAATGTATGGATCACTTTTTAGAATTAGCACCAGGTTCCCCTACAATTGAAAGAAAGAAACCTATATTTTACAAGGATAACAACTTAGGTTCATAGTGAAGGATCCTTTCAAACAGCTGGTCCTTGGCCAAACCTCTTGGCATTGATCTTTCCCGGAATATCCGTACCCATTTACAGCTGGATCGACTGGAATTATGCATGAAGAAGACTTATTCAAGGTCATCAGGCTTCCACACACCGATGGAGATTGGTGTTGAACTTTATCAAATTTGCTTAAGAAATTAGATTCTTTATATTTGTTAATGATTTCTGTAGAAAAATCTGTGGGATTAAAATCACTATTTAAAAAGTTATCCAGGTTTGACGGCTAACAATTGTATATTTAAATCTTTTCTTGTAAATACCTAATCTCTTGATACTATATTGTGTATGATATTCAAAAGATATTGAAGCCACTTAAAAGACAATAAAATTTATATCGAATCCAAAAAAATCTTTCTTTTTATAGGTCATGTAGACGACATATTTCCATTTTTTTTGCACCATGCAAAAGAAATCTTCCCATATATAGATCGTATGGAGGAATTAAGAAAGATTAGTGATATTAGAACGCCAGCAGATTGGTAAGATTTATTACTTTTAATGATCTTTTTTTGAATATATTATGGTATAACTCACTTCTTTAAGGAATACTACGTCTTAGAATGAACATAAAATTTACGAATTTTAAACTTGACCAATAAGAGCATATATTCATCAGTAGATATACCCGGTGTCATAAATAACATAACCGAATCCTTAAATAAGGTGATAAATCCAATTTTCGAGATTTTACAGGGATTCTGTTGTAACTTTATGACACTAGGTAAGTTCACTGATGAATATATACTCATTGACCATTCTTGAGAACTTAAATTTTATGTTCATTCTAGTATTACGTAGTATAACTTTAACAAAAATGCTCATGATCAGAATCAGATCTAGTTTATATTATTTTTTAGGTATGTTGATGCCCGGGCGATACAACGCAAAATAATATTCCATGCTGGTCCGACAAATAGTGGGAAAACTCACCAAGCTTTACATCAATTTCTGACAGCTGAATCTGGAGTTTACTGCGGTCCTCTCAGACTTCTTGCTTCTGAAATTTTTAAAAAATGCAATTTTCAGGTACAATTATTTTTATTTTTTAAAGAAGAGAAAAGAGATGGATCTTTTTCTATCAATTTTGTTCAGAAAAAGACAGAACATTGATACTGAACATTCTAATTTAGTTGAAAATAGCTGTAAAATTAAAGAATGATTTCAAATAGGAATCTGACCAATTAACAAATGAAGAAGCTTTATTTCCAATTTACAATAATATAAGCAAAAGGAAGAAGGAAGCAGTTTTTACAAGGATAACAACTTATGCTCCACAAGAATCCATTCTACTGGCTGGTCCTGAGCCAACTCTCTAGGAATTTATCTTTGCAAGATCATGAGGAAAGATGACTCTGAGTTTAGAACCCATAACCACCATTTGTTTGATATAACCAAATAATCAAAATCTCTTACTGACTGTGCTAAAGCCCATCCTACATTTTGTTTATTCCCTAATTCTTCCATTCATTCATTCACTATTCAATCTCTCATTCATTCTCTGACATTCATCCATTTATTCTGTATTCCAGGGAGTAGATTGTGATCTAGTAACAGGAGAAGAGAGAAAGTATGCTAAAGATGAGAACAGTCCATCTGAACATGTTGCATGTACAGTAGAGATGTCAAGTACAGTCAATTCATGTAAGTACCCAAATCGTTTTATTGTATATAATTTTCATTAGTGATCTGTTAGCTTACTTCTTGCATAAATACATTGGTGGCCTAGCAAGCTAGATTTATATAATGCACAGACATTGGATAAAAGCATGGTCCTATGGCTTCTTCTGTGTCATTCTTCCTCTGTAGAGTTTTTCCTCTGTAGAGTTCTTCTGTCAGCTTCTTTTGTCTCCTTGTGAAGATGATATGCTCTTTAAACTTCATCTGCGTCTTTTTCTGTGATCTATTGGGTCCTGAAAGTTACTACACCTACAGCACAGGGCTGTCTATTACCACTTATTATATTTTAGATAAAGTAACATTGGTTATTTGTTATTGTAGATAAAGTGGCCATCATAGACGAGATACAAATGATACGAGATCCCCAGAGAGGTTGGGCGTGGACCCGTGCTCTGTTAGGGTTAAATGCTGAAGAGATCCATGTTTGTGGGGAGAAATCAGCTATTAATATAGTACAAGAGATGATGAAATTAACTGGTGATACTGTCGAGGTATGTAGGTTGAAAATAACAGGTCGTTCGAAAAGTTTATTTGTTTTTTAAGTTGCTAAGGTTATTGTGAGCCAGCGTGGTCCAAGGTTTAATCCAAGCATAGGTCCATGGTATACCCATGCCCTGTCAGTGATGCAGGTCGGAGGGATTGATATGAAAGGAGTGTTTAGTGGTTAATATGGGACAAAAACTCAAGGCTGTGCATATAAAAGATCCCTCGTCAGTTGGAAAACAGTACAGGCTAATGGTGGGACTGACATGGAAAAGGCATGTAAAAGTGCTGATATAATACATGTAAATAGTTAATATGGTACATATTTACTGTGCTAATGTGCTTTTGGAAAGCGCTATTCAATACTTGTACTAGACCTTCACTAAGTTCATTAGCCAAGTCTTGATAGTGATACTTTGTGATACTTTGTGATACATTGTATACATTAATCTCTTACAGGTTAAAGAATATGAACGGTTGACCAAATTAACATATTTAAAGAAAGCTGTAGGTAGGTCTTTGATTAAATTCTTAAGATTGATCATTCTATGGGAAAATTCATCGGAATTCCGTTAGTAATTAGTTTATTAGGGACTCGTGAGACAAACTGATATTTTTTCCAAACAAAAGAATTCCTCTATGTAATAGCCGTTCAACCCATCTTACATTGAATTCTTTAATACAGACATTCTTAATCAAATTGTTGAATTCAGGCTTCAGCATTTGCACAACTTGGCTTTTATTGAATTCATGTTTTATTTTATCCCAAAATAACTGAGGCATATATTTGACTGAACCAGTTTAATAGAATAATGTAATAATTAAATAATAATAATCAGTAATTTTCTTACAGGTTCTTTGTATCAAATCCAGCCTGGAGATTGTATTGTTTGTTTTCGTAAGAATGATATATTTAATATCAGTAGAAAATTAGAGATGAGTGGAAGAGAGGTGGCAGTAGTGTATGGAGCATTACCACCAGGTGAGTTATATTTCTGCTTTTAATTTTATATTTCCTGGATTTGCGTCTTCCAAATGCAAATTTGTTGACCACTTATGATTATCTTGACATACCTCTAATGTTAAAACTATGGACATAGACTGATATAATTTATTAACAAGCCAGATTAATGTTTTTGAAAGACTTCGACCGTAATGTTTTTTGGAGTAGCTACATCAAGATATGGTCAATTTTTTTTTAAAATCACAGGATACATAGATTGGAAATTGAAATGGTGCAATTAGAAGCTACATCAGCATAGGATATCTAAACACAATGCACTCTTTCGATTTTGGGAACTCCAATTGATTTCCTTTGAGGTATTTTCTCTTTATGTATTGGTCTTTATATCTAATATAGGAACGAAAATAGCTCAAGCTGAGAGATTCAATGATCCTGAAGATCCATGTAAAATCATGGTGGCTACAGACGCTATAGGAATGGGAATCAATTTGTAAGTATATTACATTTTAACAAATTCACAAAGCAAAAAGTGTGCCAGCTTCATAAAAACAGTGGCCAATAATATATTTGGAAAATAGGGGACAATGTTTCCTATATACATGTAGTACTTAAAGCCAATGAGCAGAGTTAGCAAGCTTCTGAATAGACACAATTATCTATTGTTAACTCAATATTTATTGTTATTTTAGGTCTATTAAACGAATAGTGTTTAGCTCCTTGGTAAAACCAGTAGTAAATGAACAAGGTGATAAAGAGTTAGATGTAATAAGTACATCTCAGGCATTACAGATAGCTGGTAGAGCAGGTCGATATGGTTCAGCCTATAGTGATGGGGAGGTAACAACACTGTATGACCAGGATCTACCAATATTGCTCAATACCTTAAAGAAACCTATAGAGGAAATTAAGGTATTCTATGGTAATACATACTGAAAATAATAATGATAATTATGATAATGATTTATTTCTTATATAGGGCATAACAATGGATAAAGATAAAAAGTCAAAATTTCTCGTTTGTTTTCACTTTTGATTATAAAATTTACAAATACATACAATGCTTCTTCAGGCCAGACTTTCAAGATGAATAAAAGTGGAGGTCTCCCCTCTACCCCCCTGCATAACAAAATACATAAAACATCTTAACACACTTCACCTTGACAAATAGCATACCTATAAACATATATCTAACAATTCAAAACACAAACAAAACCAACAACTACTTTATTTTGAGTTAGTTTTAAGTGGTAATGAACACATGTTCAATTTATAAAATTGTAATATGTCAATAGTTAAAATTTAACTTTCCTTCCTGATATGTTCCCACCAGGAAACATAAAAGGAATATTACCCTTTTTATACGCCCACATCTCTCTATGTGGACGTATATTGTCGGCACCCCTGTCCGTAGGCCCATCCGTCCGTTTGTCAACATTTGCTTGTAAACGCTCTAAAAACAAGATTTTTTGATGGAATCAAATGAAATATGGTATGTGTATACATATTCATAAAACAAAGATCAAGTTCGAATTTGAGCTATTTTCGATCGTTAGAAGCAGAGTTATTGCCCTTGCCCCAAAATCATGAATATGCTATTACTCTCTTAGTTTTCAACCAATTTTGATGAAACTTTAAATAAATGTTTAGTTTTTACCATCTGCATGCCATGGTGGTCCACTATCTTTGACAGTGTTATAATTATAAAAAATTTTATTGATTATTTTCAGAAAGCTGGCTTACAACCTACCATTGATCAAATAGAAATGTTTTCCCACTATCTACCACAAGCTACTCTCTGTAATCTCATGGTATATTATTCTTTATATTATATACTATCACTATTGTATCAATCCATTTTACTTCATTATAAATTGTAGTTTTAACTAGGGTTGGGTATCGATTACCAAATTGAGATCGAATATCGATGGCAGACTAACGATCAATAATCAAAACATGCTATGTGCTCTCCGCTTCTAAATGTCATTCAAATCTTATATTTATTTCTCCAGGATATATTTGTCAGCACCAGTTCCATAGATTCTGATAATTTTTTTCTCAGCAACATGGAGGATTTCAAATTCCTAGCTAATATTATAGAACACATTCCACTAGAGTTGAGAACCAGATATGTCTTTTGCTGTGCTCCCATTAACAAAAGGTCAAATTTTGCCTGCTCTTCATTTCTGAAGGTACGTATTGTATTTATGATATTTACATGCCTATATCTCTGCAATTAAAAGGAAAACTCACAAATCATTAATATCTCCTTTCAACCATAGAGTTATATAATAAAAACTACAGGCCACACTGATGTCATTTATCATTGGATACATAGTAATGCCAAGTAACAAGTGTGGAGTCATGAACTGCATAAAAATCATATAATCCCTTAAAATATACCTCTATAGAAATTAAAAGAGAAATTTCTCAAAAAAAGATAAGTCGTCATTTTAACTTTCAAAAGCAGATAATTCTGGGCACACAATAGACTTGAAGGCTGAAATTCGACTGTGAGCTGTGAACACTTTTACTGATTGGCTTTGTGAATAAGTCTCTTTAACAATTAAGTGAGCCATTTAGCCAATGCTGATTGGGTGAAAAAGTGGGCTGGGTTCTAAGTTTAATTTATTGTATCCATGCTATTTTGTAGTTTGCCAGAAGGTTTAGTAGGAATGAGCCTGTAAGCATCGAGTGGTTGTGTTCACATATTGACTGGCCATGTAAACTTCCTTATACTATCAGTGAGTTGGAACAACTAGAGAGTGTGTATGATACTCTAGACATGTATCTATGGTTAAGGTAAGTTTTGGATACCCAGACTTTGTCAGTAATGTGTTTAGTCATAAGACTATAAGCTATAGGACTGTTTAATTGTTTTGATTATATACTTAGCTGCCTAATTAAAATGAGACCAAACTTTTGTTCTATTTTCCAATTGCATTAGCTTTTAATTTATAATCTGGAACATTGGTCACAATAAACTTTTGACCTTAACCTGATGACCTCTGCTTTAACCAATCAAATTCCTTCACTCTCTCACAAAAACAGCACTGGAGAAGTCAGAAATTTGAATGGTTTAAGCAGGGGTCATGAGGTTAGGTCCTGAATACAAATAAAAAGTTTAGAAAACCTGTTGACAATCCTTCAAAAAATTCAAAAAACCCCCAAAAATTCATCTCAGTTATGTTAATGTTTCAACTGTCTTCAATTTCAGTTATCGCTATACAGACCTTTTTCCAGATAAGAATGAGGTACGTGAAATGCAGATGGAACTTGATCAACTGATAAGGGAAGGTATTCAGAATGTTACGAAACTTTCAAATAAATCAACAGAAGTATCAGAGGAAGTTCAAGAGGATGTTAAAAATAGTACAAATCGTTCAAATAATTCACCAAAACTCTCAACAGAAGACAATGTTAACGCCGTTTCAGATCGTACAAACAAATCAGCAGCTAATGTTCCAGAGGGTGATCAGGATATTACGAAACTTTCAAATGAATCAGCAGTGGATGAAAATCAAACTCAGGAGAAAACTGTGAAAAGTGAAAGAAATTTGGACGAACGTTTCGGAAAATTAAGTCAAGAATTAATAAGAAAGGGTATTGTTACCCCAGAACAATTAGAAAACATTTTAAAAGAACCAAAAGAGGATTCCTGATTTATTTATTATTGTTTGTAGTTGATTTAAATAAATTTTAAACATTACAAGATTTGATTATAACTAGTTACATTGCCTGTGGCTTTTTTTCAGTAACTGAAACATCTCTGTTTAAACTACACCAAATACAGTTTATACAGTGAGCACGAGGCATCATCCCTGTGCCTGGGCCAATTTTTATACATATTTGCCTTAACTTAATGTGTCAGAATGCACAAAATCATTTCTATTTTTCACAAATTTTCTCAGAAGTTCAGAGGCTTCCACATTTTTATATGCCCATGAAATTTCAGGCGTATATTGTCGTCACCCATGTCCGTCCGTCCACAATTGCTCGTAAACACTCTAGAAGGCACAATTCTTGACGGATTTTGACGAAACTTGGTATGGTTGTTTGTAATCACCCAAGGATAAACCCTATTAAAAATCAGAAAAATATTTAGTATGAGTTTAATGCCCTTGTTCTTAAAATGCTCGTGAACACTCTAGAAGGTGCAATTCTTGACGAATTTTGATGAAATTTGGTGTGAGTGTTTGTTATCAACCAAGGATAAACCCTATTGAAAATCAGAAAAATCGAATATAATTAGTATGAGTTATTGCCCTTATTCTTGAAAATGCATTTAATTTTAGGTCGTTAACACTCTAGACGGTTCAATAATTAACAGATTTTGACGAATCTTGGTGTGATTGTTATCAACCAAGGATAAACCCTACTGAAAATCATATGTTTACAGTGAGTTCTTTCCCTTGTTCGTGAAAACACTCTAGATCAGTGGTTCCCAACCTTTTTCAGCCTTCGCACCCCTGGAGTAATCATTTGAACCCCTCACACCCCCAAAATAATGGACATTGTAAATTTATAATTTTTATTCAAATTAATCATAATAATCACACATAATAATAGATACATAATAGTGGATGCATAATAATAGATACATAATAGTGGATATATAATAATAGATACATAATAGTGGATATATAATAGTGGATATATAATATTGGATATATAATCATGCGGCCGCAATAAGAAGCTCAGTTGGAATCCTGTTGTTGTTTTCTTTGGAACCATGCCATATCCTCCAAAAAACTTCTCCTTCAACAGCTGTCCACACCTCAGCCCCACACCCCCAGGTTGGGAACCAGGGCTGAAGATGGCACGATTCTTGACAGATGTTTACTGCCAAATAATTTTATTCAAAATCAAGCTGCCAATGGGCGTATATTACCTTTTCTGGCAAGCTATCTAAAGTGATACTACATCTTGAAATGAAGTTCTCGAAAAGGTCAATATGTCTATATTCATCAGTTAGCTTACCTTGTGTCATAAAGATACAACAGAATCCCTGTAAAATCTGGAAAATTGGAAAATTGATAAAACTAAGTAATTAATGAAAAAGGCTTAATCTTGTTTTTTTTTGTTATTTCGGATTATATAAGGATCCTGTTATGTTATTTATGACACCAGGTATATCTACTGGATCTTATTCGCTCAGTTTAAAATTCTTAAATTTTATGTTCATTCTAAGACGTAGTATCACTTTAATTATTAACATTGATTCATTGTCTCCCCCATTAAGTCAGTCTGCCCTTCCGTTGTACCCAGTGCCAACGATCTAGCTACACCATCTGTCAAGGGATCTTTATTCAAAAATGCATCCTGTTATTAGGTACACCCGTCACATTACCTATATGATTTGGATATGATTTTGCCTAAAAATATGTCAGAATACACCAAATCAGTTCTATTTTTTGAAACTTTACTTGGGAGAACCTGCTACTATGACACCACCACAGTGTTGCCGCATTTTGAATTCCACCTCAACAGTTGTCCCCCCATTGAGTTAGCCAACCTGCCCCACATTTGTACCCCCAGTATCGAGAGGCTGGCATCGTTACAGTGCTGGACTCTTGTAATTTATTCTTGATTTTATTATTACTATATTTTGTATTTGATCCTTTAACTCCAACTGTAGAGCTAGAGAAGTTTTTAGAAGAATATATCAAGGAGAAAAACATAGAAATTACCAATTTAAACAAAGAGATAGATTCCATCCCATATACTGACCTCTTCGCTTTAATAGATTTACATTCCATCCCATATACTGACCTCTTCGCTTGAATAGATTTACATTCCATCCCATATACTGACCTCTTTGCTCAAATAGATTTGCATTCTATCCCATGTACTGACCTCTTTGCTTGACTAGATCGATTCCATCCCATATTGGCCCACTGACTTATTTACTTGAATAGATTTACATTCCATCCCATATACTGACCTCTTTGCGTTATAAATTGACATTCCATCCCATATACCGACCTCTTCACTTGAAAAGATTTGCATTCTATCCCATGTGCTGACCTCTTTGCTTGACTAGATAGATTCCATCCCATATTGGCCCACTGATTTATTTACTTGAATAGTTTTAAATTCCATCCCATATACTGACCTCTTCACTTGAATAGATTTACATTCCATCCCATATACCGACCTCTTCACTTGAATAGATTTACATTCCATCCCATATACTGACCTCTTCACTTGATTAGATTTACATTCCATCCCATATACTGACTTCTTTACTTGCATAGATTTGCATTCCATTCCATAGATTTACATTCCATCCCTTATTCAGGGTTCTTAGCTTGAATAGGTTACTTAAAAGAAGATTTACATTGAAAAAATTTAAATATTTGTTTTATTATATCTTTATATCACATTGATATAAATCCAATTTCTTTGCTAAAACTTATAACTGACACTGTATGTTGTTCGATTTTGAGATTTTGTTTTGTTATTGAACTGTTCTATCAGTATTTTTCATCTTTAATGAAAATTTGAGAATTAAAGTTATTGTGTTAAATTGTTTTTCTTAAAAATTAAAAGTAATGAAGGGTTTGCCAGTTTAGAGTCAAACTGAATAACGGGATAAACTTCATGGAAAGTCCTAGAGTCCTAGAAGTTTTTTTTTTCTTTTCGTGCCAAGCTATTACTACCTTCGGCTTATACCTTGACTTACTGAAGTTTGTAAATGCAGTGATTTGATTGGCTCTATATGCTAGTTTCCAATCCAATCAAAGAACTTGACAGAAAGTATGTAAAACCTAATACATATTGTTTTAAGTCAAGGGTTCTGTTTGGCCTTTCTTGCTGGTGTACATCCTATCAGTGGAATCCGCAATTGACAAGAAATGCAGATTTGGAGTCGATGTATTAGTCAAATGTCGTAATAGCTTGACATAGTTGTTATTTAAAGACTTCAATTCAATACACGAGACATGAGACTAAAGATTGATCAAACTGAATTCCTCGAATTCAAGTGGAAATTTCACATCAAGCAACTAGATTGGGTGGTTTCTCTGGACATAAATGGGTTATCTAACAAAGGGAAAGGGTTCGACATCCATTGGACCAATCATATCTTAGTTTAAGACACAGGTTTTTTTTTTTCTAGCTAAGTTAGTCTCATCGTATCACGAATACGGGTTTTGACATCGTATTATTAACGGAGAAAGTACGTCGAATGGGGGTGTGGTTTGGACACGATGAGCTAGTCTAAGAAACATGATTGCTAAGCTAATACAGTGACAGTATTCACAGCTTACGTTCGAAATTTGAGCTTTCAGATCCATTTGGATCCAGAATTATCCGCATTTGAAAGTTGAAAAGGCGAGTCGTTAATTCTCGAGACTACCATATAGAAAAGACATAAAAATAGCAAGTGCAATTTCTAGTTGGAGGTATTTTTGAAGGAATTATGCAATTTTCGTAAATTTTTATCACTTCTGAAGACTTTACATATTGAAGACCCAAATTAACCCTATCTCTTTAAGACACTAGAATTGGTTGTTTCTCGGTCATTAAGCCGCCGAAATGTGAGCAAGCAGCTAAAACATTCAGGTGCAAGAAAAAAAAAAAATACGTCGTCCCAATTCCATTTTTATTAAACAGCCATAAAAAAACAATGGCTAAATCGAACAATCAAGGTTAACCATTTTCCGATTAATCAATTTCCGATTAATCTATTTCCAAAGAGGTTCCTGCAATTCTCTTACAGCACTTCCACGTTCCTCTTCTTCCTCCTCTTGTCTCTCTGAATTAAGATAATTTAAAAGATTAAAGTCATGAATCCCACGATTTTCGGTATAAAGTGAATTTAGTTTTAACGTTTTGACCCACGAAACGCGATTGACACATTTTATACCTATGAAGTCAGTCGAATAGGGTTGTGGTGGGGATGCAATGCTATGAATTATTACTTGAGGAAACAGTTGAAGAACTTTCCATATAAAACGGGGTCAACCCATGTCATCTAGGTCATACAAAACAGGGTCAAACTATAATTTCGAAAATATATTTGGGAAAGCTGTGTTATCCAGCAGGAAGAGGTCTCATAAAGGATGATAATACACTTGTATAATATTATGTGCCTTGTAAGAGTTTAACGCGTTGCGTAGAAGGGAAGTAACTGAAATTAAACGCCATCAAGTGCGTTAGCGTGGACAACAGTACAATTTCAAATTATATTGGGGCTTTTAAAGAGTAAAACGTTAAAATCTACAAGGAAATCTTAATCCATGAGCCAGGAAGCAAGTTGTGTAACCGGATTTTCTGAATTCAAACTCGTCAAAGGTTTAGGAGAACGAGACGGAGAATTATGATTATAAAAGCTAGATAGCCTGTCCGGCAACGTAATATACCAGCAGCTTTGATTTTGAAAAAAAAAAGGATCGAGCCACAAGTGTTTACGAGTAAAAAAATTGAATGAGTTTTCAAGAACGGAGTTTAATAACTCCTAAAATATTTTGCAAATTTTTTATTTTAAATAGGGTTCCATACATGGATGATAATGAACAATTTCACTAACTTTCGTCAAAATCTATCAAGAATATTGTGTCTTCTAGAGTGTTAATAACGAGCATTTGTGGACTTGTGGACGGACTGTTTGGGCGACGGCAATATGAGAAATCATACTGAAAGGCAAAAGAAACTGAATGTATCATACACATGTAAGTATTTTAAAGATGGGTTTCTCCTTATTTTAATTTATGAAAATGAAAATGCTAATATTTAAATGAATAGAAAGTAGGTGTTCTTATGACATGGAAAAATACCAGTTTGTCCCACATATCCATAATTAAGTCATAATTAGCTAAATTAGAAGAGATTACCAGCAAAATTCCAATTAGTGACCGATCAAGAAAGGTCAAAGTCTTTTTTTGTGTGTATCCAGACAGTACATACCCTAAAAGAATACGGAAGAAAGTCTGTAATAAACTAAAGCCAAAAATGTAATAGAATTTTAAATGAGTTTATTCACTGCAGACGTTATACTGCCTGCGTCTGTTTTGAGAATTGACGTTTCTTTTGCCTTTTAGTTCAGACTATAGACCTAGATGTAAACATTATCTACTCACTGCCTCTCAATTCGTAGAATTTCTTGCATAACTGACGAAGATCAACGAAGATTGGGTTATGATACGGCTTTTGGGTATACTTTTTACAAAGTGAATCTAACCCTTTAAATACTGGTCTTGGTCCATTCATATTCAAATCTCGTTCAGCTTCTGAAATAAACAGTCAACAACAAACCATAATATAGCTTGGACCCCAGTCAAATGTCGGCGAGGTTTCAGAAATGCTCAAACGTTAGTCAAATCCGTGTACGGCTATACAAAGTCCGTGGTTGAATTAGCTCCGTAAAACACCACTAAGTTATATCCGCAACGCCTTTGAGTAAAGCAAAACCATGCGAGGCATAGGGCCTATGGTTAGTTAGCGAGGTAGGGAAATGATTTTAATACAAAAATGGCTCGGTTGTGCTTATAAAAGTTGACCTGGTATTAGTTGTTGTTCTACGGAAATTTCTTTAGTAGAAACCATCAACCCATTTCACCCCATGTTCTTTAAGCAACGGTAGTATTTTATCAAATGTTAGAAGTGTATGATATCGTATCGTTCTATAAAAAACGTGTCCCACCCGCGGCTTTGATCGCACTTCACCCCTCACAACACCAGAAGATACTCTTACCTCTGTAATATGCATCAGTGGCAGTAAATACCGCCATTAAAACCAACAAACATAGAACCTTCATGATAATTATTCTGAAATCATGAATATTGTTCAATTATTGATATAATTTGTTGTTTTGAAGGCAAACAGCATTTTACATTTTGATTCTAGGACATCTTAACGCTCAGATAGGTTCGAGAATACGGGGCATATTAGTATATCGGAGGTGGCATTTCAATTCATACGAAAATCAGGCAGATTCTGTAAATATTGTGGTCGCTCACATTTACATAATATGCAGACAATGTTCTCGAGATGCTCATGACACAGTACCTCGTATATTCCTAATATTAATAGGGCCTGGAATCTAAAATCAGACGTTACAAAAGGGATTGTAAAGAGGTTTTCTAGATTTCTTTTTTATGTGTATCAAGAACTCTGATAGCATCAATTTACACTATTCCATTTTGCAGTCTGAGGTTCCTAATAGTATTCAAAATCAAATGCTTTAAAAACAAACCCTGTTTACTGAACAATCTTCTTCGCTCTGGAAATTATAAATGAAGAACTTACGGGAGGCCTGTAGTATTTATATAGACCACGCATGTGCATTGCATGCTAAAATATATCTTGCGTTTCAGCGACATGTTTTTGTTAAAACGCACACACGCCAGCGACCATACCCATAGCAATTGGTATTCATTTTCCTCCTTGGCATTTCTAGGAAACATTAGTTGAGGGGTCCGAGCAGGGGCCACAAAATTTTCCAGTGTGGGGGGTGGAGGCACAGGCTATGCTTTCACTATGAAATTGAAACAAATTATTTGATTTTTTTGTTATATCGGATTATATAAGGATCCTGTTATGTTATTTATGACACCAGGTATATCTACTGAATCTTATTCGCTCAGTTTAAAATTCTTAAATTTTATGTTCATTCTAAGACGTAGTATCACTTTAATTATTAACATTGATTCATTGTCTCCCCCATTAAGTCAGTCTGCCCTTCCGTTACGTACCTGGTGTCAACGATCTAGCTAACTCTAAAACAATCGTATATCAAGTCGAGCTCAAATGAACTCACTCAGACGCTTCTTGAGAGGTTAGCGCATACGGCGTTTCCTCAGAGTTGTCTAATTCATATTCGACAGTCATAAATATATTTTTAAATCTCCAAATATGAGATTCCAGAATGCCTTATAAAATATTGATATAGTCTAGCTCAGGTCAGCTCAATTGACCACGTTTGTGGATACGAGTTGCACCCCTTCGCCAGAAAACTTCTCTTCCCCAATTTATAAAAGAGATCACTAGATTTGGTAAAATCCTCACACTAGATATTGTGGTTAATTGGGCAAGAATAGGCTATTCGTCATTACACTAGGTTTGACAGACAAATATGATGATTTGAATCAATACCTTTATTGAACCAAAAATCAGATTGGCCCGGAGCAGTGGCGTTTCTTCGAGAGGAACATGAATACCAATTGCTATGGGTATGGTCGCTGGCGTGTGTGCGTTTTAACAAAAACAAGTCGCTGAAACGCAAGATATATTTTAGCATGCAATGCACATGCGTGGTCTATATAAATACTACAGGCCTCCAGTAAGTTCTTCATTTATAATTTCCAGAGCGAAGAAGATTGTTCAGTAAACAGGGTTTGTTTTTGAAGCATTTGATTTTGAGTACTATTAGGAACCTCAGACTGAAAAATGGGATGTTGTAAATTGATGCTATCGGGTCCCTGATACACATAGAAAATCTAGAAAAACTCTTTACAACCCCTTTTAAAACATTTGATTTTAGATACCAGGCCCTATTAATATTAGGAATATACGAGGTACTGTGTCATGAGCATCCCGAGAACATTGTCTGCATATTATGTAAATGTGAGCGACCACAATATTTACAGAATCTGCCTGATATTTTCGTATGAATTGAAATGCCACCTCCGATATACTAATATGCCCCGTACTCTCGAACCGATCTGAGCGTTAAGATGTCCTAGAATCAATGTTAGCAGATAAGAACCTAGGACATCCTAGCGCTAAGAACATTTCGAGAATACGGGGCCTGGTTTCTTGATTGTCTTTATAGCATCTGGGGAAAGCATTGGTTTATTTAAAATGTTAAAATCCGTTTCTATAAGGTAATATCGTCGAAATGACAATTCGGAGCTCACTGTGATTGGCAGGAAGAGTAAAATGCTGTTTGCCTTCAAAACAACAAATTATATCAATAATTGAACAATATTCATGATTTCAGAATAATTATCATGAAGGTTCTATGTTTGTTGGTTTTAATGGCGGTATTTACTGCCACTGATGCATATTACAGAGGTAAGAGTATCTTCTGGTGTTGTGAGGGGTGAAGTGCGATCAAAGCCGCGGGTGGGACACGTTTTTTATAGAACGATACGATATCATACACTTCTAACATTTGATAAAATACTACCGTTGCTTAAAGAACATGGGGTGAAATGGGTTGATGGTTTCTACTAAAGAAATTTCCGTAGAACAACAACTAATACCAGGTCAACTTTTATAAGCACAACCGAGCCATTTTTGTATTAAAATCATTTCCCTACCTCGCTAACTAACCATAGGCCCTATGCCTCGCATGGTTTTGCTTTACTCAAAGGCGTTGCGGATATAACTTAGTGGTGTTTTACGGAGCTAATTCAACCACGGACTTTGTATAGCCGTACACGGATTTGACTAACGTTTGAGCATTTCTGAAACCTCGCCGACATTTGACTGGGGTCCAAGCTATATTATGGTTTGTTGTTGACTGTTTATTTCAGAAGCTGAACGAGATTTGAATATGAATGGACCAAGACCAGTATTTAAAGGGTTAGATTCACTTTGTAAAAAGTATACCCAAAAGCCGTATCATAACCCAATCTTCGTTGATCTTCGTCAGTTATGCAAGAAATTCTACGAATTGAGAGGCAGTGAGTAGATAATGTTTACATCTAGGTCTATAGTCTGAACTAAAAGGCAAAAGAAACGTCAATTCTCAAAACAGACGCAGGCAGTATAACGTCTGCAGTGAATAAACTCATTTAAAATTCTATTACATTTTTGGCTTTAGTTTATTACAGACTTTCTTCCGTATTCTTTTAGGGTATGTACTGTCTGGATACACACAAAAAAAGACTTTGACCTTTCTTGATCGGTCACTAATTGGAATTTTGCTGGTAATCTCTTCTAATTTAGCTAATTATGACTTAATTATGGATATGTGGGACAAACTGGTATTTTTCCATGTCATAAGAACACCTAATTTCTATTCATTCAAGTATTAGCATTTTCATTTACATAAATTAAAATAAGGAGAAACCCATCTTTAAAATACTTACATGTATATGATACATTCAGTTTCTTTTGCCTTTCAGTATGATTTCTCATATTGCCGTCGCCCAAACAGTCCGTCCACGAGTCCACAAACGCTCGTTATTAACACTCTAGAAGACACAATATTCTTGATAGATTTTTACGAAAGTTAGTGAAATTGTTTATTATCATCCATGTATTGAACCCTATTTAAAATAAAAATTTGCAAAATATTTTAGGAGTTATTAAACTCCGTTCTTGAAAACTCATGCAATTTTTTGCTCGTAAAAACTTATGGCTCGATTCTTTTTTTTTCAAAATCAAAGCTGCCGGTATATTGCGTTTCCGGGCAGGCTATCTAGCTTTTATAATTAAAATTCTCCGTCTCGTTCTCCTAAACCTTTGACGAGTTTGAATTCAGAAAATCCGGTTACACAACTTGCTTCCTGGCTCATGGATTAAGATTTCCTTGAAGATTAACGTTTTACACATTAAAAGCCCCAATATAATTTGAAATTGTACTGTTGTCCACGTTAACGCACTTGATGGCGCTTAATTTCAGTTACTTCCCTTCTACGCAACGCGTTAAACTCTTACAAGGCACATAATATTATACAAGTGTATTATCATCCTTTATGAGACCTCTTCCTGCTGGATAACACAGCTTTCCCAAATATATTTTCGAATATTATAGTTTGACCCTGTTTTGTATGACCTAGATGACATGGGTTGACCCCGTTTTATATGGAAAGTTCTTCAACTGTTTCCTCAAGTAATAATTCATAGCATTGCATCCCCACCACAACCCTATTCGACTGACTTCATAGGTATAAAATGTGTCAATCGCGTTTCGTGGGTCAAAACGTTAAAACTAAATTCACTTTATACCGAAAATCGTGGGATTCATGACTTTAATCTTTTAAATTATCTTAATTCAGAGAGACAAGAGGAGGAAGAAGAGGAACGTGGAAGTGCTGTAAGAGAATTGCAGGAACCTCTTTGGAAATAGATTAATCGGAAATTGATTAATCGGAAAATGGTTAACCTTGATTGTTCGATTTAGCCATTGTTTTTTTATGGCTGTTTAATAAAAATGGAATTGGGACGACGTATTTTTTTTTTTCTTGCACCTGAATGTTTTAGCTGCTTGCTCACATTTCGGCGGCTTAATGACCGAGAAACAACCAATTCTAGTGTCTTAAAGAGATAGGGTTAATTTGGGTCTTCAATATGTAAAGTCTTCAGAAGTGATAAAAATTTACGAAAATTGCATAATTCCTTCAAAAATACCTCCAACTAGAAATTGCACTTGCTATTTTTATGTCTTTTCTATATGGTAGTCTCGAGAATTAACGACTCGCCTTTTCAACTTTCAAATGCGGATAATTCTGGATCCAAATGGATCTGAAAGCTCAAATTTCGAACGTAAGCTGTGAATACTGTCACTGTATTAGCTTAGCAATCATGTTTCTTAGACTAGCTCATCGTGTCCAAACCACACCCCCATTCGACGTACTTTCTCCGTTAATAATACGATGTCAAAACCCGTATTCGTGATACGATGAGACTAACTTAGCTAGAAAAAAAAAACCTGTGTCTTAAACTAAGATATGATTGGTCCAATGGATGTCGAACCCTTTCCCTTTGTTAGATAACCCATTTATGTCCAGAGAAACCACCCAATCTAGTTGCTTGATGTGAAATTTCCACTTGAATTCGAGGAATTCAGTTTGATCAATCTTTAGTCTCATGTCTCGTGTATTGAATTGAAGTCTTTAAATAACAACTATGTCAAGCTATTACGACATTTGACTAATACATCGACTCCAAATCTGCATTTCTTGTCAATTGCGGATTCCACTGATAGGATGTACACCAGCAAGAAAGGCCAAACAGAACCCTTGACTTAAAACAATATGTATTAGGTTTTACATACTTTCTGTCAAGTTCTTTGATTGGATTGGAAACTAGCATATACAGCCAATCAAATCACTGCATTTACAAACTTCAGTAAGTCAAGGTATAAGCCGAAGGTAGTAATAGCTTGGCACGAAAAGAAAAAAAAACTTCTAGGACTCTAGGATCCCATGAAGTTTATCCCGTTATTCAGTTTGACTCTAAACTGGCAAACCCTTCATTACTTTTAATTTTTAAGAAAAACAATTTAACACAATAACTTTAATTCTCAAATTTTCATTAAAGATGAAAAATTACTGATAGAACAGTTCAATAACAAAACAAAATCTCAAAATCGAACAACATACAGTGTCAGTTATAATAAGTTTTAGCAAAGAAATTGAATTTACAACAATGTAATATGAAGATTTAATAAAACAAATATTTAAGACTTCCAGCAAAAGAATTAGAGTGTCAATTTTGTCAATGTAAATCTTTTTAGTAACCTATTCAAGCTAAGAACCCTGAATATGGGATGGAATCTAAGTCTATTCAAGCAAAGATATTAGTATATGGGATGGAATCTAAATCAAGTAAAGAAGTCAGCATATGGGATGGAATGTAAATCTTTTCAAGTGAAGAGGTCAGTATATGGGATGGAATGTAAATCTAATCAAGTGAAGAGGTCAGCATATGGGATGGAATGTAAATCTAATCAAGTGAAGAGGTCAGTATATGGGATGGAATGTAAATCTATTCGAGTAAATAAGTCAGCATATGGGATGGAATGTAAATCTAATCAAGTGAAGAGGTCAGTATATGGGATGGAATGTCAATCTATTCGAGTAAATAAGTCAGCATATGGGATGGAATGTAAATCTAATCAAGTGAAGAGGTCAGTATATGGGATGGAATGTAAATCTATTTGAGCAAAGAGGTCAGTATATGGGATGGAATGTAAATCTATTCAAGCGAAGAGGTCAGTATATGGGATGGAATCTATCTCTTTGTTTAAATTGGTAATTTCTATGTTTTTCTCCTTGATATATTCTTCTAAAAACTTCTCTAGCTCTACAGTTGGAGTTAAAGGATCAAATACAAAATATAGTAATAATAAAAATAAAGAATAAAATACAAGAGTCCAGCCCTGTAACGACGCCAGCCTCTCGATACTGGGGGTACAAATTGGGGGCAGACTGGCTAACTCAATGGGGGTACAACTGTCGAGGTGGAATTCAAAATGCGGCGACACTGTGGTGGTGTCATAGTCCACCAAGCAAAGTTTCAAAAAATAGAACTGATTTGGTGTATTCTGACATATTTTTAGGCAAAATCATATCCAAATCATATTTGTAAGTAAGTTAAATATAAGGCAGCAGGGTACAATTTTTCTCCCTGTACTCCCACTGGAGCAGTCACAGGTCCAGCCCATAAGATACACAGTATTCCGAATGAATATGTAATGTGACAGGGTGTACCTAATAAAAGGATGTATTTTTGAATCAAAGGTTAAAGATCCCTTGACAGAAATCGAAAAAGAGTAGGCTAATGCGGCTGTCCTTTTCAAAGTTTTGCAAATTGCATGGGGCTGCCGAACAGTAGGCCATAAAACTTCATTCATTCCATTTTTTAGTAAAAACTTTATACTATAAAGGATACGAGGGTGAGTGGATGTTTTCTCTCCATCTAGACTGATATACTGACTACCATTATAAAACCATCCTTCTGGTAAAATACTTAAATGATTAGCTTTCTGAAATGTAATGCACTTAGATGATTAGCTTTCTGAAATGTAATGCACTTAGATGATTAGCTTTCTGAAATGTAACACACTTAAATGATTAGCTTTCTGAAATGTAATGCACTTAGATGATTAGCTTTCTGAAATGTAACACACTTAGATGATTAGCTTTATGAAATGTAACACACTTAGATGATTAGCTTTCTGAAATATAACACACTTAGATGATTAGCTTTCTGAAATGTAACACACTTAGATGATTAGATTTCTGAAATGTAACACACTTAGATGATTAGCTTTCTGAAATATAACACACTTAGATGATTAGCTTTCTGAAATGTAACACACTTAGATGATTAGCATTCGGAAATGTAACACACTACACACTTAGATGATTAGCTTTCTGAAATGTAACACACTCAGCTGATTAGCATTCTGAAATGTAACACACTTAGATGATTAGCTTTCTGAAATGTAACACACTTGGATGATTAGCTTTCTGAAATGTAACACACTTAGATGATTAGCTTTCTGGAATGTAACACACTTAGATGATTAGCTTTCTGAAATATAACACACTTAGATGATTAGCTTTCTGAAATGTAACACACTCAGCTGATTAGCATTCTGAAATGTAACACACTTAGATGATTAGCTTTCTGAAATGTAACACACTTGGATGATTAGCTTTCTGAAATGTAACACACTTAGATGATTAGCTTTCTGAAATGTAAAACACTTAGATGATTAGCTTTCTGGAATGTAACACACTTAGATGATTAACTTTCTGAAATGTAAAACCCTTAGATGATTAGCTTACTGAAATGTAACACACTTAGATGATTAGCTTTCTGAAATGTAACACACTTGGATGATTAGCTTTCTGAAATGTAACACACTTAGATGATTAGCTTTCTGAAATGTAACACACTTGGATGATTAGCTTTCTGAAATGTAACACACTTAGATGATTAGCTTTCTGAAATGTAACACACTTAGATGATTAGCTTTCTGAAATGTAACACACTTAGATGATTAGCTTTCTGAAATGTAACACACTTGGATGATTAGCTTACTGAAATGTTATTGACCTATAATTAAATTAAATTTTTCGACCTTTTCAACTTACATGAATTTTATTGATAACATCATTAGAAAGTTGGTCTCTAGTCAGAATTTGTTTTTTCTCAGGTTTTGGTGGTTGACATTGTCGTAACCAGTTCTTCAATACAGATTTATCCAGGCCACACCCAGTAAATACTAAATAACTTTTAGCAGTAGACTGAGGAGCTGGGGGAGATTGACCATCTTGGGGAGGCTTCTCTACTGGTACAAACTTCATATATTCACTCAAAGTTACAAATTCTACATCAAAACTCTCATTTAATCCTGAAATAGAAATGGGAAAAAATGTGAAATAGTTATCTCATCTTAGTTAAGGAATGAATGTTGATCTTGATTTGGAAATGAACTTTTACATTCTACAATTTTTCACCTTATGGGCTATTGAAGACCTGGTTACTAATTTGGAGAAATTTGAATTAACATCAGTCGAAACTCACAGAAGTTATATTTTGACTGATATTCTATGAGCTGCAATTCAGGGTAAAGAACATTACAGATAAAATTTTCCTGAGTTTTATTGTACAGAACCTTTAAAGAATTTTTTTTATTTTGCCTACTATCTTCAGAACTTGGTATATATAAAAACATCAAAATACAAAGATTACTGTCAGCCAATATGGAGGGTGTAAAGGGATCTAGTGTTCCTTACCAGCCAAATTAACTTGACCTTGTATATGATAGATATTTCCCAACCATGGATCTCCACACAATTCACTGGATATACCTGAAATATAAAAATGAAAAAATAAAGACTAATACAGGGCTGTTAGTTTATTGTTTTGCCAATCTGACATTTTCAATCATCTAATAAGAAGGTCTATTATATATTGACATGGTGTTTAACAAAATAAAGTCAACTGTTATTGCTCTACCTGCAGTTCACGCGTGACATAGGCCAGTGCTCTCATTGAGACTTGTCTCAATACACCCTAACACTAATCAATAATTATATCTCCTAAGCCAGTTTAATTAATTTGAAATCCAAATATGTTCAATCGGCAGTTTTGAAGTAATAACTGGTTAAAGTACAGATTTTAAAACATAAAAAAATTATAGATATTACCTTTAAATTTGTGAACTAGTTTAAGTTTATCCAGGGGTTGTGTAAAATGAAGAACAAGTCTGGTCATTGATGGTTGTTGTCCAACATTAACTATGGGTTTGGCTCTGAAATAATAAAACATTGTGTTAAACTGGCCTAAACCAAAGTCCAAAAGCTGGCTAATTGATGAAGTACACACAAGTCAAAAGGTCATCTTAGATAATTCAACATGGAAATGAACCACAAAAGCAGGTGTCACTTTTATTAGAAACCCAGCCATCTGGTCGGTGGATAAATTGAATGAAAGAATGTTTGCAATGGATAGAGGAACACTTAAGTTAAGTTAGTGAAGAAATTTCCCAACTATTACAATTAATATTTTGATACCAGAAGATAATTCACCTTGTATTCTCCCTGTTATTCCTATTACTAACTTAACTAAGCTAATAAGCTCTCTGAGATTGACAGTTTTTGCTTCTGACCCAAGCCCTTGCTTTTTATATTCTCATTTCATGTTAAAATGTGACTTGTGACTGGTGAGAGATATCTATAACCTTTCATGTTAAAATGTGACTTGTGACTGGTGAGAGAGATATCTATAACCTACCTTGTGACTGGTGAGAGATATCTATAACCTACCTTGTGACTGGCGAGAGATATCTATAACCTACCCTGTGACTGGTGAGAGATTTCTATAACCTACCTTGTGACTGGTGAGAGATATCTATAACCTACCTTGTGACTGGTGAGAGATATCTATGACCTACCTTGAGACTGGAGAGATATCTATAACCTACCTTGTGACTGGTGAGAGATATCTATAACCTACCTTGTGACTGGTGAGAGATATCTATAACCTTCCCTGAGACTGGTGAGAGATTTCTATAACCTACCTTGTGACTGGTGAGAGATATCTATAACCTACCTTGTGACTGGTGAGAGATATCTATAACCTACCTTGAGACTGGTGAGAGTTGTGACTGGTGAGAGATATCTATAACCTACCTTGTGACTGGTGAGAGATATCTATAACCTACCTTGTGACTGGTGAGAGATATCTATAACCTACCTTGTGACTGGTGAGAGATATCTAGCTCGTACAACACTCGGAGAATAAAACTCAGACTCAGATAATATATTTTCAATATCAGTACTCCTTCAAATAGAAAACATCAAGTTGTAAAACAGAATTAATAAAAGGAGGCCATGATATGAACTTAATCAAAATTTGCTTTTGTACGAGAGAGTGAATAACTCTGTAAGCTGACCACCCTCTACTATATAACACAGACGGAAGTGGATGCCTCAGGTTGTACAAGAGAGGACCAAACATCAAGACTGGACTCCATTTCACAAAGATCTTACGATAACAATGATAATAAGTGAAGAAATTCCAGATTTACAACAAAATTGATAGTAAGGTTTATTTTTGTAATGGGACCTAGTTAATCATCTTCTAGAAAAAGCTAAATTATCATCAAACATTGAGGTGAGGCTTGCAGAGTTGACAACCCAACCATCAGGTGGCATCAGGTGTTCTAGAAGAGTGAGCACACTCTTCCTAACTTACAGCATCCGCTACAGCACTTGCTATAGTACTTACTATTAAATTCTAAATAGTTTGCTATATACTTACCTATGAACTTCTCCTCTCTCTGCTAGGATCAATGCCACGTTCGAATTTACAATTCTTAACATGCCTTGTATTTCTTCTAATAGAGGACTCTAAAATATAATACAGATACAAATTTAAAGTAGTCTAATTACTCACTCTACTTATTGACAACAATAACCAACTACCTGTGGCAAAATATAATGCAAACACCATATTAAAAAGGGATACAGGTAAAGAATTGTACAAGATGATAGGAATTTCCAATAGAAGTGATGACAATCCAGGTTTTCAAACTTTTAATGTCATTCATGAAAACCAATACCAACTGGTAGTCCCAATCAAATATCACTTATTTAAGTTATAGTAAGGTATCATTTAATTGTAGACAAATGCCAAGTCAGTAACTTGTTTTTTGGAAACCTGATATTAATCTTGGCTAGTTATTTAAAAGAAAATAGAATAACAAAAAGAAACCTTGGTAGCTGTACAAGATGTAAGGATTATATTATTCACCCATCCTTCCATACAGTCATTTAATAAACCAGGATACACCAATCTAAAATATAATATTATAATATATTTAATATATCAATCAATTCCAATATTCTTCAACAATGGACACAAGGCATTTATTAAGCTGTTAGAGTTACAGTGATTTCTGATTTCAATTTCTTTAATGTAAAAAAGTCGTCAGTAGGGCTTAGGAATAACAGAGAATTTCAGAGCTGATGTTATTCAGTACCAAAAGATTGATATTTACTGGAATAGCTGGCTCTCTTAAAAAAGCCAATTTGTCATGAATTTGTCTGTAAAAAAAAATTTTGAATTTAAAACATAGACTAGAGCCTTTTTAATGTAACAGAGTTATCACTTATTTGTAGGAAAAATAGCAAAACTGTTACCTTTTCTCCAGAAAGAAATTTAGAGGATCAACACAAACAGTTACAGCCCCTAGAAATAAATAGATACATACATGTAGGGGCTGGTATATCTTCAACTTACTGTAATCTTATAGATATTGCTACAGAAACAAGAAGTTAAGTCTTTATTCTTCTTTTTGATTAGATTGATATCAAATATAAGTTTATCAAATAGACGACATAGCTGTGTGGACTCTCTTAAAGAGATGTAGAGTTGACAATCACAGTTACAGAATGGCATCAAGTGTTCTAGAAGAATTAGCACGCCCTGTCTCACAAAGTTCACTCACCACAATAACAATTGTTTAATTTAATGAAAAAAGTGAAGTAAGAATGAAAGAAAACAGACCTATTTTGATGTGAGTAGAAATTTCTGGATCTGGATGAGATTCTATAGCTTCAACAAATTCACGAATATTACACAAACTATAAATAAATAATCAAAGATATTAGACAAGGCAAGCTACTGAACAAAACTGAAGAATCTTGATTTTACATATCTAAAAGATCATTACAGAGTTGATCCATAGCAGAAAATTCCAAATGTCAAATGTTAATGTTTATTTAAATATTCAATATTTATTTTTTCAAGTCATTCACTTTTGCTTTATGCATGAATGAATAAGTGAATGGAGTTTTACGTCCTACTTTTCCGTACAATGTGGGCTAATGAAGGAAATTTTGCCAGGACAGCAGCATTAGCCTGCTCTTTTTCAATTTCCAACTGTCGAGGGATCTTTAACGTGCATAGCCTGACCAGCTTTATTCCCTATTATCAATTTCTTTTATTGATCTGCAGATTCTTTAAGAACTTACTTCTGTACAACGACAATAATCTTGGTTTGTCTTCGTGATCCTGATTTGCGACGTCTGTGAGCTGCCAGTGAGGCATCAAGTTGTTTCTGGAGTTTTCTCGGATCAAATTTATTGATATCATCTCCAGTCTGTCTTAATACAATCCATCTGGAAGATAATCAATATAAGATCAAAGCACCTGTTTCACAAAATTTAACTAAGATATGATCAAGACTATGAAAAATACTGTTATCTGATTGGATAATAAAGGTGAATTCAAACTAGATTTTCGTGATAGACTGGAACACTAAAATCATCTTAATTCAAATTTTGTGGAACAGGCCCCTGGATCATGATCTGACTCTATTTGCAAGTCATTGATTTGGACTAGGGCTGCAAATTAAGATGTATTTGCAAGAATTAACTCCAATTTATGTCCGATTTTGCTGTTCCAGAGGGTGAGGGTGAGGGTGAGGGTGGGTGGGGAGGTGGAAATGTGATGAAGTGTACAATGTTGGAAATTTTTCTAGAAAAGATCTACCACCCTCATTCAATTTCTTTCTATTGATGCTCTTAGTCCCGTAGCGGAATCTAGTAGCCTTCCAGTTGACATCTTAATCCAGATACATTAAAACCAATATATTAGTAAAAAAATGTAAAAATAGTTTAGAAAATGAAGAATCCTCACTTACGTATATTTTTCTTTATTAGAATGAGTTAAAGTAGATGTTAGGTTTTGTTTAAAATAATACAACTTACCTATATTTTTCTTTATTATAATGAGTTAAAGTAGATGTTAGGTTATGTTTAAAATAATACAACTTACCTATATTTTTCTTTATTATAATGTGTTAAAGTAGATGTTAGGTTTTGTTTAAAATAATACAACTTACCTATATTTTTCTTTATTATAATGTGTTAAAGTAGATGTTAGGTTTTGTTTAAAATAATACAACTTACCTATATTTTTCTTTATTATAATGAGTTAAAGTAGATGTTAGGTTTTGTTTAAAATAATACAACTAACCTATATTTTTCTTTATTATAATGTGTTAAAGTAGATGTTAGGTTATGTTTAAAATAATACAACTTACCTATATTTTTCTTTATTATAATGAGTTAAAGTAGATGTTAGGTTATGTTTAAATAATACAACTTACCTATATTTTTCTTTATTATAATGTGTTAAAGTAGATGTTAGGTTATGTTTAAAATAATACAACTTACCTATATTTTTCTTTATTATAATGTGTTAAAGTAGATGTTAGGTTTTGTTTAAAATAATACAACTAACCTATATTTTTCTTTATTATAATGAGTTAAAGTAGATGTTAGGTTATGTTTAAAATAATACAACTTACCTATATTTTTCTTTATCATAATGAGTTAAAGTAGATGTTAGGTTATGTTTAAAATAATACAACTTACCTATATTTTTCTTTATCATAATGAGTTAAAGTAGATGTTAGGTTATGTTTAAAATAATACAACTTACCTATATTTTTCTTTATTATAATGTGTTAAAGTAGATGTTAGGTTTTGTTTATGAGAACCAGCAACTCCCCCTATTATACTCACTATTATCTGTTAAAACAAAATAAAAATCATATCTTTTTGAGTAAACACAATCAATTAGAATTGGTGAACAAACTTATGCTTCTTGCGCCCTGTTTTAAAAAAATGTTCGGAAAGCTGTAGCTCAGTAAAACACAAAAACTTTTGGGATGTAAGTGCTCTGTTACTTGATCAGATACAAAAATGGTTGTAATACATTCTAATCTTGATAAAACTTTTCAGCCTTCAAATTTGTTCAACCGTTGTAGTTAAATTGATAAAAAGACTTGATATTTTAAAGGGATTATAACAAGGTATTCTTTTTATCACTGATAGGGGTCACTGATAGAAAATTTCAGTTGAATATCTGTGTTTCTTGCATGTTCACTAAAACTACGGCTTTGAGGTCACTATTGCAAAAGTGATGTCTAAAAACGCCAAATTGAAGTAGAAATGCAAATACCACATATATTTGACTAAACATTGGCGTGGTGCAAATAGAAAACATCTTTACAATCCCTTTGAGGAAATATTTTGACTCTTTGAGAAATTAGTTGTCTTAGTTATTTTATCATACCTGTTCCTCATTAGAAGAATGTACATCAGCAGAATCGTTAAGATTTAAAAGCGAGGGGAGATCACTCTGTTTAACATTTGCACAACCAACGTTACAAGCTGACAGATGATCTAGAAATCTGCAAGGAAAAAAAGACACCAGTGTTGCTAATAAGTGTGATATGAAAATAAGTCGAATTTTCCAGTAAAGGTGCGGGCATAGGAAAGGTTTTGGTCGCTGACTTTTGTCGCCGATTAGAGTCTTGTCTTGAGTTTCAACGACTTGCACAGGCACACGAGGACAAAAATTTCCAGTCAGTCATTTTCCACATTGTTGATAATCACCTAAGTCCTTGAATCTTTCTATGCTGTAAATGTAAAGGATAATGGAGGAAATATCTATGCCGAGGGTTTAGGTGACCTTATTAAATAAAGGAGTTTCTGTTTTAGAAGAAGAATCAGTCAGTCGAAGGTATTTCTGTAATCAAAATGCTGTCTATATTCATTGAAAACTCCAAAAGTTACCTTTTAAGCTGATGAATATAAGGAGCTGTTTTTTCTAGTGGTGTTATAGTGGTATCAGATCTTGTGCTGAATTGTATTTCTAATCTATCACACCTACAAATATTATATTTGTTTAATAGAGGAATAAGAAGCTCTGGTCATGCAACGAATTTCCTCTCTAAAAGAGTGCCGAATAAAGTCATATATCCTGAGCTCCAAGCTATGAAAACTCAAGAATTTGTTCTTTGCATTTAAAGGGACAGATGATTTAAGAGGTTGATTTTGCTCTTGAATATATGTAAATAGTTTTCAGAAATTCTAAAAATGTACAAAAATCGTATAATTCCTTCAGTTTTACTTACTATTTCCATTTATATCTTGTCTATATATAATAGAGAAAGTTAAAAGACGAGTTGTCTGAGACTAAGGTGTGATTGGTCAAAAAAATGGTGCACCTGACCCTTTAAGCAAAGTCAAATTCCCAAAATCCCCTTTATTTCTTGGTCTATAAGCTAATGTTCAAAGAAATAATTACTCCACAAAACTACTCACAATGTAGTTAGATGTTTGGGTAAACTATCTGTTCTCTCTACACAAGGGAAACTCGATTCAGTTTTCCATATTGGTAAGACCTAGATTAAAACACAAAGTTAAATTCACCTGGGCATTGTTTCTCCAGAAATTTGACAATTAATTTTGGTTTAAGTGTGGTATTTTTTAATGTTATGTGTTTACTCCAATTTTTTGAGAAAAAGGGGCACAGGCTTCTAAAAAGCAAGTTCCAATGTCATTTTGGAACAAATTAACCAAGTATTAACAACTCGAACTGCAAAACGAAACCTGAACGAAACATTGAGAAGCTTTCTCTGAATGTACAGAACTATATTTCTTACCCACCTTAGAATATAATAATTTACGAAGTTTAGATTTCTGTGTGAAAATGAAGATAAGTTCATTTCTCTCAGTGATCAGATGCGCTGGGATTTTAGAACTGGATGATTTATCTAAACATAGAATTAACAACCAGACACAATCATTACTGTCCTACAAGGGAAAATATCTTATAAGAGCACACAACAATAAACATTTACACAGGTCTTATTAGAGTTAAGATAATCCTTTAGCGATAGCGGGTAGAGATCACATTAAATAATGGAACACAATTTTATAGTATACTACTCCTTAGTTTTATTACACACTACATTTCAACAATCTACATTGTCATCATCAGACTACTCCTTAGTTGTATTACACACAACATTATTTTCAACAATCTACATTATCATCATCATCACCTGATGATGACAATGTAGATTGTTGAAACGTAGTGTGTAATAAAACTAAGGAGTAGTATACCATAAAGTTGTGTTCCGTTATTTAGAGTTAAGATACACTTCACCCTAATGCTTCAACAAATGGGGGTAGATTTCCATCGGGGAGGCTGCTGCTGGAAAAGGGTCTAGTCTACCTAATGCAGAGTTATGCTACTGGTAAAATTGTCCTAATTATATACTGCATGGTGTTTGAGTTTATATATATCAATTTTTCCTATCAGAGTAAAAGAGAAGGACTGAAAATTTCATTAAATGTTATTCACATCCAAATATTCAGAATAGACGCTATTTCCATGTTAGCTCATTCAAACTCTAAAACAAGGTTGAATAAGAAGATGGTTATCTAAAATTTTAACATTAAAAACTCAGCATGGCCAAACTTACTCCATCATATAAGTGAATGTTTTTGATGTCTGCATGAGTCAATAAAATACATCCATATTCCTTATGATATACCACAATACAGTTTTCATAGATATATACTTCTCCTACAATTTACAATACAGGATGACTATGATTGGTAAAGGCAATTCTGAGTCAAGTTATGGGCAATTACATTTTACAAGATATCTTGCACATAAAAAGTTCACAGGTAACCCTTTTCAATCACTATGCTTAATTCAAATATGAATTAAAGTCTGATAAACTCTTTCTATTGAGCACATCTCAATTAAATTTCATCTAAAATTGTATGAAAACTGCAGAATCTATCTACGTGAAGGGCAATAACTTGAAAACCATTAAACCTTTCAACCCTAACAGCCAGTTTACTGCCCACATATTAACACAATAAATACCCGAGCAGACGGTATACAGGCCGTTACAAGGTTACAATGTTAACGTCATACGCTTTAACTTTAATTACTTGAAATTTGGGGTATTTGACGTTTATTTCATTTAAACTCAGGGTTCAAAGGGTTAAATGCAAAATTTGGTAACTTCAATGCAAAAATCCATCAAATTTGTTGCTTTGAACATATGTCTTTAGTTTAAAAGTAAACATCTATGTACATACCAGTGAAAATTTGACTGTAGTCTGGTGTACTGGTGGTATATTGAATTGTCTCCCTTAATACCAGTTTCTCACCATATTTGGTTAGGCTTGACAGCTGCTCTGGTAAATCTTGACAATGTGTTATCTCTTTATTATTTATCTACATAGAAATTTTTAAAAAATACTGCTTATTTCTTTCGAAAGGCAAAACTGAACCTTTGAGCTTAAGATAAGCTTCTTTTAGTTTCCATAACTACAGTCTGCTCTCCAAAATTTTACTCAAATCATGCCTTAGCTTGGATTAGGGAATCAAAACTTCTTTGATCTGATCTGATGGTGGATCTCAACTAATGGATTGTCAGTCAGTATTCTCCTTGATTGCGAGTAATTGGACAAAATAAGACTATACGTTATCTGGAAAATCTTAAGAATATAACTCGAAAAATTATACCCAACATAAAACTTCTTGTGATAAAACAACAAAATTTCAGTGTTCAAAAATGAATGATTTAACGGAAGGTTTACTTACTGTCCATACACAGAATCTTGGTATATCAGCGGTAAGAACAACATAATCACTACATCTGTCACTCTCATCTGAAACAGATAAATGATATCAATAATGAAAAGAATATATATGCCAAGTTTGCTCCAAGATGGGCAGGCAACATCATTAACTATGCAATGAGAAAAATAATTGTTTGTTATGTTCTGGAATGTTTAAAACTGATCCTAGCACGTCAGCCTAGAGTAACCCGGTTGAGCGGTAGACAACATGCAAAAGTGGAAAAAACCTGACAACATCGGTAGATTACACATGTATGGATTATTACACTGATGCTATATCTTTCACACAATCACAAAATCAACATTCTGGAATTAATAAGGCTAAACCATACCTTTAACAGTAAAAGAAGAATCTAGGAATGTTTCAGAGAATACAATAGAACCATGTGATTTCCCAGCATGCTCTACACTAGGTACGTCCAGTAACGATAGCGAAGCTACTTTCATCAGCGGACTGTATACCCCATCTTCTAATCTATAACTTCTGAAAATCATAAAATTAAATGATAACATTATTGCTAGGATGACTCTCCAAAAAGACATGCTACTTAATCCATTACAATTAATAACTGTACTTAAAGCATGCATGTTCTTTTGTACTTGCCAACCATGGTTCCTACTGTCCTATGTGGACTCTTTGAAAAGAATGCAGAGTGACACAAGGTGTTCCAGAAGGGATATAATACCCTGTATAAAAAGCAATCTATTATGGAGGGTAAATACTATAAAAACATTGGTCATAAGAGCTGAGGTTGAAGAATGTACAGGGGAAAATCTGAAAAGGGAAGTTACCTCCCATTGTTATCAATTCCATCAATTTCAAACACGATCTTAGATCTGAAACATATGTAGAGCAATTACGAAAACTCTTGCAAAGTTTATATAGATTATTCTAATGACAATAGATTTAAATAGAGTATAAAATAAGGCCTTACATTGATGATGAACATTAAGATCAGTTTCTGACCGATCCTACTGATAGGTCTGTCTTCAATTCTCACCCTTATAGACAATACAACCAAAATATACACACAATTAAACAAACTAAATTAAAAAGAACTACTCATTGTAGATAACTCTTATGTAGATATTAATCTAGTAGTATTATTTCTACAAACTTACTTAATTCTTCTGAGAATATAAAAAAAGAATCAACATCCCATTAGGTACTCAAAAAATATTTTACGATAAAAATTTGTTATTAGTGTGGATATTAAGATTGAAAGATACCACACTTCACACAAAAATTGATCAAAAGAAATTTTGTGAAACAGAAAGAAGAAATAGGGAGAGGAATCAACCTACCCTTGATTGAAATAATCTTGTAAAACTGGATGACCAAGTTCTCGAATCTTCTCTTCAATAACATACAATACTTTATTGGTAGCCTGAAAATCATTAACAACATCTATTAATAATATAGTTACCATTGTTACGAAGGAGTAGATGGTAGACAGATCCGTGAGAGGTTTAGTTATCTTTTAAAAAATATGGCTGTTTTTTCTTTTTTTTCCACTGTTAAAATAGAGCATAGTGAAATTTTGGTTCTGTTTACATTTGTACTTAAAGTAACGATTTTATCTTAAAATTTCTCTCAATTAATTTTTCGCTTTGAGATACCTGATTCTGGGGGAGGCCAATCAGTGTTTCTCCTCTGACAGCCGTTAGAAAATTTCAAGCAAAAAGCTGTTATACTTTTGGCATCATACCATAAAATTAGAAAATATTTCAAGCAGATATTCTCAAGTTTTGGGCTCCCACAGCTCTATTTGTGGCTTACCTTTTTCAGATTGAGTGTTTTACTGTAAACTTTAATACCAGTAATAACTCCCTCTATTACAGCCTGGTATAATTGACTTAAAACACTATAAATAAAAAAAAAACATTGTAAATCCTCTGAGTTTAACATATGAAAAGCTGATAATCCTTTCATTACGTTTGGCCAATTAATCGGATGAATTTCAGGAATGATGAAAATTAATTTGGCAAAAATTATTGGCTGGATTATTCTGATTCAATAAATTATATAGAATATATAGATCAATAAGCTTACATACCAATCATCATCTTGTTTTCTTGAAGCTTGAACTCCTTCTGAAATAATAAAACAAAGAAATTGACTCTTCAATCAATGTTCACTGAAGACTTTACGGGTTGTTCCTTTATGGGTTGTTCCTTCATTGGTTGTTTCTTTATGGGTTGTTTCTTTATGGGTTGTTCCTTTACGGGTTGTTTCTTTATTGGTTGTTCCTTTATTGGTTGTTCCTTTAATAGTTGTTCCTTTACGGGTTGTTCCTTCATTGGTTGTTTCTTTATGGGTTGTTTCTTTATGGGTTGTTTCTTCATTGGTTTTCCCTTATAGGTTGTTTCTTTATGGGTTGTTCCTTTTTGGTTGTTCCTTTATAAGTTGTTTCTTTATGGGTTGTTCCTTTATTATTGGTTGTTCCTTTATTAGTTGTTCCTTTATTGGTTGTTCCTTTATTGGTTGTTCCTTTATTGGTTGTTCCTTTATTGGTTGTTCCTTTATAAGTTGTTTCTTTATTGGTTGTTCCTTTATTGGTTGTTCCTTTATAAGTTGTTTCTTTATGGGTTGTTCCTTTATTATTGGTTGTTCCTTTATTAGTTGTTCCTTTATTGGTTGTTCCTTTATTGGTTGTTCCTTTATTGGNTGTTCCTTTATTGGTTGTTCCTTTATAAGTTGTTTCTTTATTGGTTGTTCCTTTATTGG